TTATTACGAGTTGAAGAGTTAAGCTTTGCTGTTTCACCAACAAATTAAAAGGGCAAAAGTTATCGAAAACATTAAGAAAGCGAAGAAAAAAAAAACAATGAAACGCTCTGAAAATTTTAAAGAAGAAAGCGAAACTCAAACCGAGTTGTCTTGAACATTTGTCAACGAGCAAACCGAGGTAGAAGCCAAATCATGGGGAACGAATTCTCTGGAACAAGAAACTAATTTGGAGAAAGTAAATAGTAAGCGTGTTTTGAAAGGCAGCATGGAAAACTATTCATATTTTTCCATTAAAATTCTTGAAAATCAAGGACAATTTACCGTCATAAAATTGGGCAATATGAAAAATAACAATTAAAAATGGTTTGCCCTCGAGAAAATAGACAAAAAAATTTGAAATCAAACGTTTGGCCAAATTCAAGGGAAAGTGTTTCATGTTGCCTTTTACAACTACACGCCATGTACAACATCTCAAGCAAAATCTCAATGGTAGTTACTTTTGATCAGGAGGCAATGTTAGGTAAATTTGAAAATTTTTGCTTGATGTGGTAGTGGATATTTTGGCGGGAAAAAAGTTTTAAAATGAAGTCTTTTTTTTGCCAAAGATAGTGTAAGGGGAAACTCTGTGCAAATTTTTTCAAATTTTCCCGCCAAAAGACTTAGTATATATTTGAACAAATATTTGGAATACTTGTTTACACATTGTAATTAATGATAGACTTGCAAGCAATAAAGGATTTGACCCCAATAGCAAGTGTTTGAACTATACTTTATTGAACTGAGAGATAAATAAATAGCCATTGAAAACTGACTACATTTAAACACCGGAGCAAAAAAAAAAAAAAGATGGCGCATACGTATTTTGGGGCGCCATGAAAATAATCTATTTATTAAAAAAAAAAATCCGGCGCATGCGTATTTTGAGGCACCGTATTTTTTCTAAGTTTTTTGGCGGGAAAATTGAAGACGTTTGAACAGGGGTTACCTAAGAAACCCGACTTTGAGCGAAAATTTAACTTGCAGAGTCAATAAAAAAACTTAGCTGTGCAGAACGTTTCTTGTTGCACCCTTCAAAATGAATTGGCATCAATAATTGCTACAGACTTGTGAACTGGTTTCTTCGACAACTTCTGCTGGAATATTTTATGAATCTCCGAAAAAATGTTTTCAAGATCTGCTGTACACTAATTTTACCTTTGCCAAGGATCAGATTGTTCCCCATCGCATACTTCGTCTTCCAGTGGCTTGTGATCCAACACTTGAGTAAGCAGCAGTCTTGTCCACAGTTGCTTTGGGAAAGAAAAAAAATAATTGATAAGTAACCAAATTACAGCAAGAACTGATCTTTTTTTTTTCGTAGTTTGTATTTGCAATCGACTAAAATGTTTCCACTCAAAGATTAACCTACCTTTGCTTAAGAGTCGAAACGTTCCCTTCAGATTTTTTTTGTCCTCCAATTGCTTTGTATCCCTCCATTTTCTTGCGATCTTTCCCTTGAATGAACCTTGTCTAAAAATGAAGCAACAGGAAAATAAAAGTTTTAATTACATTTTATAACAACAATAGATTTTTTAAAATTCGTTTTTACAATAAATGAAACAAGACCCTGTCACTCATGAGTGAATCTGTTCAATACAGCTTCGATGCTGGCCTCTTGTTGACTGCTATCCCGTAATTTTTCTAAAAATTACTGACTTTTTGAGTGAATGAAGTTTTTGTTAAAATTACTGATCGCGGAGCACTCTGATTTCAAGCAAGGTTCACCACCATGATCATTATTCATTCTTGGTGTAACAAGCTGTTACTATCACGAGTAATTGTGAACAAAGAGATCAAAAGGCTAGAGCCTAAGAAATAAAAAGCGATAACTCAAAGGAACACTTCACAAGTTCTTACAATAAGGTGAACTATAAATATGACAAGAATTTAAGAATTTAAATATGTGCTCTAATATTCCGTGGAAATTATTGGTTCTGAAACAACGCTGACCTTCGCAAAAACTTGTCTAAAATATTGTCAAAACAAAATCTGGATATTCTCTGCAGTTTACATTCGTGTGGTTGAATTGATGTAGTAATGGCAATATTGCGGAGGTAAAATTTATGGAATTCACACACCTCAAGGCTACTTAGAATTTAAAAAATGTTTTTGCAGATTCTCGTGATGTACATTTGAATATGAAATGTTTCCTCACGTTATAATTTCCCGTTTTGTTGATCTTTCTGTAAAGACAAACAATAGCCCCCGCTTGGCGCGAAATACGCTCGGATATTTCATCGTGAACTTTATTTGTTCCGAGGTGCGGACAGTTTTCTGAGAGCGCAGTGTTTATTAACCTTCAAATGTTTTTTCAACTTGCGGGAAAAAATGCATATAAACAGCTAACCTTTTCTGGGTGAGATGAGCACTTTTCATTGTTCTCCTGTACGACTTAATGAGCAAACAAACATGTCTCTTCTCCTGTAACAGCGAAATGCTGTCTTATCTTGAATTAAATTTTAAAGGATACTTAGCGTACTGGACGGTAACGTGATGTGTTAAGACCAATTGAGAGCGAACACAAATATTTGATCGATTATAAATCCTGTTATTTCTCATCAATAGCTTATTCAATTTCGAAAAACAAACAGCCTCCTTAAGATTACATATCTTAAGTATCAGATTTGACGAACACTGTGTAGGAAATAACGGCGGAACGCGACGCAATCAGCTCTTGTCGACCCGAAAAGTTAACCCTTTAACTCCCAAGATCTGATTGTTAATTCTCCCCTCTAGCTGCTAGAAATTTCCTTGTAAATCAGTTATGAGAATTTTATGTTAAATCGAGATAAAAACTTCTACCTGATAAGTTTGAATATTCTCATATTCTCATGACCTATTTGCTGGATAATGTTTAGATATTATAGGGAGAAGTTAGATATTAATCATTTCTGGGAGGTAAAGATTTATTAATTATTAATTATTAATAATGTGCTTCTGAGCCTGTTGGCGATTTCAAAATATTTGCCTGATACTCGAGTCTTTCTTAACTCAGCATAAAATTTGTTTACGACATCATCTAATGCAATGCCTGTCGCATGTCATGTTTAAAAATATGTTTGTTTATCAAGAACTGGATTAAAAATATTCTTAATAACATGAAAACGATATTGCTGATTGATGTAAAAATCTATTTTTTAAGAATGTCACTGTACTTTGGAAGGAATGTCATCGAAGTAACCGTGACCATAACACTGTAATTGATGTAAAAAACCATTAATAAGTTTCATTGCCTCTAACACCGTTCAACGGAAACGAAGTCAGACATTCGTGGCATTATTTGAGCGAAAGTAGCTCCGAGTGTTGCCAAAGTCTTCAGTGCTGATAACCGATTACATATGAGTTACTGACCTAGCGTGCGGTCAAGATGGCTAGATATTGGTCGAGTTCTTTTTTTTTTTGCGTTTTCATGGACCGAGACGAAGTTGAGGGCCATAAAAACCCAAAAAGGGAACGAGGCTAACATCCACTGAGCCATCTTGACTGAACAAGCTTGGTCAATAACATATTTATTGTTTTACAAAATATTACGCTTTAATGAGAATCAAGAATGAAATGTTTATTTCGAGAGCCAGGAAGAAAACAAACTCTCTTTTTAGCACAATAAAACCAGGAAAGTGAGGTCATAGTTATTAAGTCCGCTCCACGTATTTTCTTTTGCGCTCCACCGATCTCATCTTGGCCGCTCGGGTAGCCAATCAGTAGCCCATCAATTATTGGTGATGTAATAAAGGCCTTAATTCTGCCTATGTTATGAAGTATGCAGGAAACCGCTTTGCAACTTAATTGTGGTGGATACACTTGCAACCTCGTTGATTGTCTATGCTCGACCATGTATGGGTTTTTTTATTCTTTTTTTTCTGTTTTATGTGTTAGAAAACGATGGTTATATAAAAGCCTAAATCAACAACAATCAATACTCTTTTTCTTGCCTCGCAAGATAATGAAAAAAACTACTTTAGTTTGAATCTTGAACGGTAGCCTATCCTTTGCAAGTTCTCCGTTTTAAAAGTGCATTGATATTCCTTAACGTTAACTTACGATTTGCTATCCACGATTCTTAACAATCTCTTCGCACATCTTGTCTGTTTTCTTTTTTTCCTATGTTAAAGAGCAATTTATTGAGGATCTACTTCAGCTAATGAAAAATATCAGTTTGTACGTTTTCGCTGAAAACTCAAAATTTCGCTCCATAGTTTGTCGCTTTGATTATGTTTGTTGACGTTTGAACTCCACAAAATGTTTAAATATCTGATGATATTTTACACATGCCTCTACTGAACAAGTCGAGTGCTTTGCTCTTGCCAAAAATATTGTCAGAAGAGAAAGGATAAAGAAGGTCAAAGAAGTTATACATAGATTTATTCTGAAGACAAAGAGTAGGAAAATTATTCCCCTAAACTAAAACATTGTTGATAAAAAAGTGCCCATGAAAGCTCGGAAAAGTAGTTAAGATGCACCTCTTTAACCAGAGTGAAAAAGACTCGGAAATCCTCGATGCTCTAAAGCAAACAAAATAAATAAACTCTCACCTGTAATGTATTGAAGAAATGAGTGTACAATCCACAGATCCATGACTGCCACTTAGCATCCCATGAAAATGATGTCACATGAGATTCTTGTGTAGATGGATGGCAAAATAGGTCCCTATGTCAAAATAAAGTCGCTGCTGTAAGCACGAGTCTGCTTTGATGATCACCCTCTAACTAATTTTCAATGTCAAGTAATATTGTAGGAGTTAACAAAAAGGCAAAGTCTGTGCTTGTGCTTATCGACCAAGATCACTGCTAGTTCAATAAGATGAGATACTATTCCATTGCAGGTTACACCCCCCCCCCTGCATTTCCGATCATATTTTCCTGAAAGTTTGCTGGAACCAATTTACACTATCAGGTAGAGAGAGAGGCATTGTGCAAGTAAAGTGTTTAGCCCAAGAACACAACGCGATAGCAAGACCAGGTCTTGATCCCAGACCTCTCGACCCAGACCCCGGCGGGCCAAACTTTGCGCGACTGTTTCTCCCATTGTAAGATTTTAGCGAGATTGAAAAGGCGAATTCCGCCAATTGTGCAAAACTGACTCGTATTACAGCCTGACCTTGTCCTGATATCTGTAAAATGCACTCGTCCCTGACAGAATGTTAGTCGATCTTAGGTTACCCCTCCAAATTTTCGTTATGCTTTTCCCAAAGGTCGTAGGTGCCTATTAATACAGGGGCGGATCCAAGATTTCTTGAGAGGGGCCGGTCAAAACGTTGATTTGGAAAATTAAGAAACTTTTCTTACACAAAAGCCTGTTCTTTCTCACTGCACTGCGTTTGAACGTCCTTATGAGGATTCTTGTGGATGGTTGCACACTTATTATGAAACATGTGAAGATGTGAAGGCTCACCTTAAATATCCTGGAATTAAAAGTAGTCTGTCCAAGTTTGTTATAAGACTGATACACACCATGATGTCATCATCATGACTATAGCATCATCATCATCATCATTCGTGATCATCACTTGTGTCAGCTCAGTTTGGCCGTATTTTTCACCGTTGAAAAATTAAAGAAAGGTGTTTTGAGACAATGATAGATACTTTTCTGTGCTACAGGGCTTAACTTGTCACGAAAAACTTCAAATATGTGACTAACTATCAGAGTTAGTATAAAGTTACGAGAGGATGAATTTTCAGCTGGGCTTTAGGGTCACAGTAAGCTTCACGTATAGTAGTGTAAGTTAAGTCAGAGGCAGTTAGGTTTATCAGATGGCAGTTTTTTCCAGTTCAGCTATAAACTGTAACTTAATGATTTTAAGCCACTAAACAGCGATCAGCTTGCCAAATAAAGCCGCCTTTAAAGAAGAAAGTTCTTTTTGGCAAGATGATTTGATAGGACGTTCGAACAGGTGAAAAACAAGGGCCCTTGTCTTGCAATCATTGTCACAGCAAAGAATCGTTGTTGCTGACGGATTGTGTACTTTTTCATTTATTATAGAGAACATTTTAATCTGGACATGTGCACTTGCCTAAGAAAATCATCTGTTGTAAGAGTTCCTAGAATCTAATGAAACTAATAATTTTACATTTAATCATTTTGTCAAACTGTAACCGTCTCTATACAGTTAATAATATTATCACAACCGACTAGGCTTTGGGTTGCTTGATCTCCCGTCATGTTCTGCAACGCTACAACTCAAAAGATCTGAATATATTTTCTCTCTTTTGGAGGCAATGTATTTACTTCTGAATAAATCAAGAGAAGTTAGTGTCATATCAAGATAACAACCTTTAGCTGATAGGTTTTCTATTCTCCACACCTGTTTACTGAATAATGTATGGAGATTTTAAGAAGAAGTTGTATTTTAATCGCGTATGGGAATTAATGGTTAACTTAGACATATACTTGGATAGGGGTTGACTATGAAGTAGAAATGGCAGAAGATTCGACAAAAATTGTGTCCAAGATAACAAAAAGAAAAGAATGTTACCTGAGAAAGCCTAATTCGGCGGGTAAATCATCCATGAGCTTCACAATAAGAACGGAGCCATGATGTCTTAAGCAGGGAGTTCTGAAGAATGCCAAGACGAAACAGTCGACCAGAGTAAGGGTCCACATATCCCGTAACTAAGGAAGGTTGTAAAATTTGGATAAATATGAGTAAAGCTGGAAAACGAAGTATCGAAGTAGCTTATGACCTTCGCTTCACTCTTCATTTCACTCGCAAACCTCGTGCAAAAGTTACACGGAAAACTGAATAATTAAAAAAATCTGAAATTCAAATAAGTGATAATGACTCAGGTAAATTTGCATTTTCTTGCACTTTTTTTGAACTTTGAATTTCTGTAGTTTCCGGCCATTGTTGGCTGCTTTTCTTGGCTGTAAAATTTCCGTTAGAGATATGACAGGTCTCCGAGATGTTTGTGATCGGGATGTTAATTACAACTGATCGACCTTTTCGGATAATTCTATTAAGGTAAATAAAAAGTAAGTTTGGCTGTTAGCTTTTTTCGAAACGTTTTCTTTAGAACGCATAAAAGCCCCTCCTGAGATACAAATGCTTCTCTCAAGATAAAAATGTATTTAAAAGTTGTTCACAATTTGTTTAAACCGTGGGCTTAATAATGTGGTTTTACTGAACTAAGGTATATTACCTTAGCAAAGTGAATGAACATTTATTCTGTAATTTATCAAAATCAATGACAACCAGGAAATATCCAGAGGATCTAAATGAAGTTAAACATTAGTCGTAAAACGGCCAAAGAATTTATTATCCTCAGTCTTGAAACATTCTAACCATTAGTCGCAGACAAAGGTTAGCTGTAAAAATTTTTCCTGTCTTCACTGTATCATTTTGGGTTTACAGCAGCCGTAAAATGACCAAAATTTTATTCGTTAGCCGTAAAGGTCATCACCCCATTGAAACCCTCCATCAATAGCTCACCGCTGATCGTTAGAGCTACTCAATTGACGTAAGAAAATGATGCAAAATTAATCTGACACGAACTGATGAATGACCAATCTAATGAGTGACAACCTAGATTTATAAGGCCGCATCACAAAGACCTCACAAGCAGTTTTCGTGGAGTCTTTCCTATATGGGTTCTTTTCTCGAACAGCAGATGAGCCTCTCTCAGTTGGCCCGCGTCAAACTAACCGATGCAGAGAAGCTCATGGCCAACGCACGTGAAAATGCAATCGGAAAAACAGCAGACGCGCAGCAGCTCATGGTTGAAGCAAGTATCCTACTTAAGCAAGATCTTGAAAATGCAGCAAAAGAAAACGCTGTTATCAATGAGATCACTAAAACATTGAGTCAAGTCCACTTCGCCAACAAGATCAAGTTGAATGTTGGCGGTAAGTTCTATACAACAACACTGGATACTCTACGAAGGGATCCAGATTCTTTGCTGTGTGCGATGTTCTCGGGAAAGTTCCGATTAAAAATGGATGAGGAAGATGGAGCATATTTTATTGACCGTGATGCAGAACTTTTCAGGTATGAAAAAAATATTTATGGTAAAGAGTACTCTTAATCACTGAAAAATTCTCCCCATCACTCTTTGTCTCACCATTTACGGTATTGGAAAAACCCATTCTGACATCTTGTGAGCTACTGAGCGTGAAGTCGAGCATGGCCTCAAAGGAAGAAGTAGGCTCGGACTTTCCCTTATATTAAGCTAACTTGTAATTTTATTTTTATTAACTAGACAATGAATATTCATTGTAGAGATTGAAAAGCTGGCTTAAATACAAATACTGGCGATAAATAGAAACAAAATACCCGGTGCCCAAATTGTAAAACCCGGCCCAGATTATATACACTGTTTTCTATTTGGTGTTCTCGTTCTCTTGTTTGTTCTAAAAATGCATTTTCATCTTCGGCACTCACCACAACAAATCTTGATACATTCCAAACTACAAACTAACAAAGTTCAATCAGCAAAGTTTGAAAAAGCTGGAATTGTGACGTCGTTGCTCGACCTCTTCACTCGTGTTACATACTATGCAAAATTTTCCGTGTCTCAATTCAAAACTTAGAGAGGCGAAAGGCAACGTCATTACTTGATCAGTATACTGTGAAATTACAATTATCACAAAGAGTACACAGGAGCCTTAATTTAGATCGGATGACGGGGCAAAAAGCGATGAAAAGGAAAACAATCATCTCGAACACTTACATTCATAATTGTTTAGTCGCCAAACGGATTTTCACTTCCTAATTACTTAAACGCAGACCACACATCGAAATGGATGAGCAGAGGCTTCGGTTATTCGAAGGGTAGATAACGTTATCCACTGGATAAATCTCTATATATCTGGTGGATAGCACTGTACGTTTTGGTAACATGTATCCGCTGGAGAGCAATTTATCCACTGGATGGCATTATCAGCTTCTTGAACAACTGGGATCAGGAAATTAAGTTAATTTATCTTAATGAAGCAAACTGAAACTCAACTGAAACCGCATTTCAATAACGTAAAATATAAGAGGGAAAGTAGATCATTATATTGGTGTTTCACGCCTTGCAATTTCTTAGCTATGACTCATCATATTATTAACAATTGCATTTTACCCAAACACTTCCGCCATACTCTCAGCAACAGCGAACCTGTTTGTACATGGAGGGCACAAACATATCTTTGACAAGGATAAATCTGTAAGGTTGATAATCGACATGGATGAAAGGAATGTTGATCAAGTATCATAGCAACTTTACAAAGCTAATGTTTCAAGTGTTAACTCGAAGCGGAAGATAAAAAAATTAGACAAAAATCTCAATACAAAAGAAAACACAAATATTTTTTAAGAGAACAAATAAAGAAATGTTTGAGCCTCAGTGTAACCAGCGCGCTTTCTGCTATTAAAATTACAATCCAAATGAAGACTTAAGAGTTTTTAAAGAAATTAACTATTCATCAAAGTATTTTAGCGTATACCTGCCACTCGACCTCAAATTTACCACAAAAATGCCTAAAAGATCACGTTTACGTAATCAATATATCCCATAAAGTTGGCTGGTTATGGTTTGACATTTCATCTTCATCGTCATTCAAGGTACGTCTTGAACTACCTTCGAGATGGAAACCTGTTCTGCCCAAATGACAACATAGTCCAAAAGGAGCTGCTCGCAGAAGCCAGGTTTTATCAAATTCAGGGGATAATCACCGATCTGGAAGAAAAAATTCCCTTTGAATCCACGTTGATTTTAAAGAATGAGGCCCATCATTCCATTCTCCTATCGTGGTTGCCGCCAGGAGCTACTTGTTCATTGCTGTACCAAGCCTCCTTTGATGGACAAACTCCAGCTGACTTCCATCGTTGCTGCGATGACAGAGGTCCTACTCTTGTGGTGATTAGAGTCGGGTCGTACATCTTTGGAGGCTTCACGTCAAAGTCGTGGGAATCGGGTAAGACTAAAAGTTAATACAGTGCATTTACTTGGACGGTAACAAGTATCTATGTAAACTTTGACATGGGAAAGCTGTAATTAATACGTTTTTTACGAAACTTCGACTTAGCATGTACGCTTGCCGTTTATGTTCGTATGGTTGAATGATTCAGTAACACTGAGCTAAAAGATGAGTCATTAGTGAACTGAACCATGTCTTTGGTTCAAGTGAAACAATTTTATAATTCTGTATTTATTAAAGAGAAAACGTTTTCGAATCTAGACAAAGTCGAAAGATCAATTCACACTGGGAAAACATGGCTAGTTAAAACAGAAACAGAACTGAAAAACTGAATTTTCCGTAGGATTCAAGTTATCGCAACTTGTAATTTCATTGTGCTACATCGACAAACATAGGTAGCTGTGTTTAACAAAACACGGCTGAATATAAGTTTTGGTGTGAATGGTGTATAAATTGGCACCTTCCATTCCATGCGAAATTTTTTTTAATGCTTTACTCGGTTACTCACTCAGCTTGTGAACTGAAAGCCAAGCAAGACAGCCATTCCTTCTTGTTTACGCTGATAAATCCATTTGGAACAAAGCCAATGAAGATAGCTACGAAGACAGATGCAAGTACACATTGCCAAACTGATTTGGGACCCACATTTGGTACCGCTTCCACACAGTGTTATGATCTACAAGTCTGGTCAACAATCGGTAACAATCTTGACCTCGGTTTTGGCTTCAAGTGTCCGGACAATGTTAATAAAAAGACATTTTTCTGTGGCACGAGTCCATTTCAAATTGATGACCTGGAAGTTTTTAAAGTTATCTTTTAGAAACGGAATTTGTTCTTTGAAATAAGAGAGAAGTAATTCAGGATGCAGTTGACTTTTAAGTACTAAATATAATTGTACCTGAAACGGTAAGGCAACTCTGTAATGCACATTTTACAACGTAGTTTGTAAATTGTAGTAAGGTAACACAGAACAGACACAACATACTCAATAAAGCAAAACACATTCATATGCACTGAGTGATGAATGAGTCAGCGTTCAAAGGACCGGACCATGCAATAAAAAATTCGTCATAAGTTCGTGTTTTCGCCTCGGCTGTGTAAAGAAAGCTGAACTTATTTTACAATTTTGAGTTAAATTCTTTGAACGTTAAGGTTGGTTTTCAAATATATTGAACTTTCGTTGGAATACACAAGAAGTAGCTTTTTTGGCAACTAAGCCCTCTTTTCCACGATAAAGTCTTAGGGTTGAACTTATACTTCCATTCCAAAAGTTACAAACCTGATGTGTCTCGTATACCCGCCGGAAAGCGAATTGAAAACAATTTACGGACGGTTTTCGTGAACAAGGCAGATTTGAAAATTATAAATTGATTGGGAGAAGCTCATACTACGCAGATTTATCGCATTGTCGGTCAAAGAAGTTCGTAAAACATTTATTTCACTCATTTTCGTATGCATTTAACGTGTGACAGACACGGTTCTTTGCGAGGAAATACCCTGAGCACGAAACTTTCTTCTGAAAACCGCTGGTGACAAGAAACTCGATGAGGCTCACTGAAGCTATTGCTTCCGGTTAGGTGCAGGAAGGAAATGCCAACGTACCATATGGCGGCTGAAGAAGATAACGAGCTGAGCCTATTCAAATTGACAAATGTCAAATTAACAGATGCCCAGAAT